AAGAAAGCTGATGATAAAGTTGAATAAAAATATAAGTCTGATGAAGTGAAATTAAATATCTGACAGTGATCATTAAACAGTGTTGCTCTAATTCTTCACTTCACCATCTGTGTCTCAGTTTCACTTCTCCAAAATGAGCGTCCGCATGGGTCAGAGCTGGTGTGAGGCACCGCACATTTTCACGTYAAGTTTGGATTTTATAAATCACAACCTTTGCATGAAAAGTGGCGTACGCAAGTTTCTGGGCTCATATTGTGCGTACGCCAGTTTTATAAATCCGACCCCAGATCCTTGATGTCGGACCTCATCCTGAACTGATGTTACCCCACATGAGCAGCAGAGTGTTTAAAGTGTTTCTCAATGTATATAAATTTAAGTTTCATTTCCCCCTCTCTCCAGGTGGAGAAAATCCGCCAGGTGAAAGCCAAATCTTTGTACCTGCAAGTGGAGAAACTCCACCAGAGTCTCACCAAACTGGATGGCACCATTGCTGCTGTGAGCCAGGTCCTGGATGAGGGCCACCACCTTGATGTGCTGCTGGCCAGGGAGAGGATGCTCACCCAGATCCACGAACTCAAGGCACTCAGGGGCCTGCTGCAGCCGCAGGAGGACGACCGCTTCATGTTCACTCCTCCAGACCAGGTAGACACCGATCAACTCCTCACCAGCTAGTGGCTGAAGCTGCTGTTTTCTTTAATTTTATGTTACAAGTCAATGAAACAATGTTTTTGCTGTTCAAACAGGCTCTATATATTGCCATCCAGTCCATGGGTATGATCAGCAGCGGAGCCTTCGCCCCCGTCACCAAAGCTCACGGTGAAGGTCTGAAAAACGTGCTCCGTGGCAAGCCTGCCTCTTTCACCGTCATCGGATACGATCACGACGGCGAGCCGCGCCTCTCCGGCGGGGACGCCGTGTCTGCCGTCGTCATGTCGGCCGCAGATGGCAACCTGTCCGCCGTGGAGGTAACGGACCACCAGAACGGCACCTACACCGTCAGCTACTTCCCCAAAACCGAGGGGGAGCTTCTGGTGTCGGTCCTGGTGTGTAACCAACACATCCAGGGCAGTCCCTTCAAAGTGACGGTGAAGTCGGGGCGGAGCTACGGCTCCCTGGGTTCCCAGGTGTCGTCGTTCGGCTGCGAGGGGGAGGGAGACGGCCAGCTGTGCCGTCCGTGGGGCATCAGCGTCGACAAGGAGGGATACGTTGTAGTAGCCGATCGCAGCAACAACCGCATTCAGGTACTGCAGTTTCCAGTGCTCTCAGTTGTAAATCTTGTTTCCCAGCTGTTTTAAACCTAACAGCTGGTCCTTCACAGATCTTCAAACCCTGCGGTGCCTTCCACCATAAGTTCGGCTCTCTGGGATCTCGGCCCGGTCAGTTTGATCGGCCAGCCGGTGTTGCTTGTGACAGTCAGAGACGAATCATTGTGGCTGACAAGGACAATCACCGTGTGCAGGTATGAAGGCAGAACCAGTGCAGTCCTGCTAAACTATTTCTGCTTGAATTTCATTGTACAAGTCCTTCTCAAAAAATTAGCATATTGTGATAAAGTTCATTATTTTCTGTAATGTACTGATAAACATTAAACTTTCATATATTTTAGATTCATTGCACACCAACTGAAGTAGTTCAAGCCTTTTCTTGTTTTAATATTGATGATTTTGGCAAAAAAAGTAAAGAAAACCAAAAATCCCTATCTCAAAATTAGCATATTGTGATAAAGTTCATTATTTTCTGTAATGTACTGATAAACATTAAACTTTCATATATTTTAGATTCATTGCACACCAACTGAAGTAGTCCAAGCCTTTTCTTGTTTTAATATTGATGATTTTGGCAAAAAAAGTAAAGAAAACCAAAAATCCCTATCTCAAAAAAATTAGCATATTTCATCCGACC